TGCGGGATACTCAATATTCGAACAATGCCAGGTGACATATATGTAGATCAACAAATGGCTGTACGGAAGCGCGATCGTCTTTTTGCATTGAATTTCGAAACCAGTACATACTTGCCTGTTATGGTGAACGTTTTACAACATACTGTTGTAGGTTTGAAATTGTTCCCAACGTATAAAAAAACAGGAACTGCTCACTCTCATTTGGTTTTCTTGCAGCCATAAACATATATTAACCAAGCGGTGGTCCGTCACATACCACCTATTGTTATTAAAAAATTGAAAAATATATTCCAGGATTATGCAATTGCTAATGGTGGTGCTGGTGCTGCTGGTGATGGTGGTGGTGTTCACGGGATTAGTCACACTATCACTCAAACTGGACGCTGAGGACCTCAAATCTCGCACGAGCGCAACCGTGAAACAGTTGAATTCCAATTGCGACGTTAGGCTGATAGAGTTCCTCCCAGTTAGCCATCTATCCGAGATGTATCCACAGAGTTTACAGCGCTGCCTAGACCTTAATCAATCGAACCCAATGAAACTGACCTCATCACAAAAACTAACCCAATTACTTATGCCAAATGAAAATCACCTCTACTCTATACGGTAGCAAACAAATTTGTTGTCCAAGCATCCTAAAGAGATAAGCTGTGCACTCAGAAAAGTGAAACAGACGGATGGAGCATGCATACCTTTTGTTGTTTATGTTTAAACTGGCTTTCTCTTAGACTCAGATTCCAGTGCACGTAGCGTTCTGCCATATCCTACCGTTCCCATTGAAGTGGGTCCGGATTCATCCATTATGTGATCCATTTCATAAACTTATCTCACAATTCTTCCCCTTCGAGAACCACTGTGCGAATAGTAGAAGGAGGGTGGTTCAAAATTATCCCGATTATCCGATAAGACCTGCATGAAAAGTCTCCTCAATGAATTTCTGTGAGCATGTGGATTGGAACAAATGGCATCTGGGGATGATAAAGTGGATTTCGTTAACCGTTCCCAATGGTCATGCAGAGCTACCACTGAAGTGCTAGGCGGAACAGTTATCCGGTCCAACAGGAAGGATTTCGGGCCATTTGGATCGATATCTCGGCGTAGAAGAGGGAAAAAGAATAACCACTGACCGGATAAAATGTCCAACGAAAAAAGCAACTCAAGCGTTACACTTAGCCATTTATGATTAGAGATGCACGAGAAACGGAGCTAGACAGCTAGATCGGAGAGGGTATGACAAAACAAACTCAAGCGAAAACAGTAATTATTTTCGCCGTACTAAGGTTGTGGTGGTGAGGAGACTGTACGGAATCGATCATTCTCACTCACTCTCTTTCTCTGTGTGTATATTTGCCTCCTCAGTCTAACATCAATGATTGGTTTGATATACTTAGTATCTTTCTGGCAAGAATGTGAAAATTAGGCAACACTGTTGTTTGTTACTATGGTTATACCAACGAGACAACAGTTTTACCCGTGTCTTCAGACACTAAATCTGTCTGGTTTTCTTAGTCCGTCCATCTTCCCGTACATTTGATGTGTGAGCCTAAGCTACAACACAACACAACAATTATTGTTTTGCTTTTTTTCAATCGCACAAGCGCGCACACAATTCATCGATCTGTGTCTGTCCACCAACCTGCCTGTCTGCCTGAGTCAAATTAACTGCAAAGTCCCATCGATCACCTGTGTTTGATGACAATTAAACTGACTTTATCTCTCTCTCTCTCGCATTGACAGCAAGCAGAACAAGCTTCTCGGTATTGTCTTGCTTTCCTTAGCCGCCTCTCACGAAGTTCACCATGGGCTGTATATTCACACACACACACACACACACACACACACACACCACACCTTGGGGGGAGGTACGGTTCTATGATAATGTTATGTGAAAGTTGTACTAAACATGCCTCTGCCACAAAGCGCACTTTCTGTTCACGTTTATGCTGAAAAAAGTACGGTTAGTTAAAAACAAAATATTGGATGATTGCATGTTTGTACCCTCTCGGTTTTCCGAAGCCGAGGGGAACAGAATGCTGCGCTTTCGTCGCCGCCGAGAACGTGCAGTCACCAACCCGGACGGTTCGGTCGAAGGAGAGACCGGGCAAAGGAATAATGTTGTAAACGGGAATTTGTAGCATGTGTGTTTATGTGTGTTTCAGACAGGTCGAGACGCGGAACATTCGTTCAGAATGGCGCGGCGAAAACAGATCGCAGCGGGAGCAAGATTCCCTGGTAAAAAGAGTGAGTTGTG